ATCAATGCTAGCTTCAAAAATAAAATAATATTTCTAACAATTACTGCAGAAAAGATAGCACATTATGCATCCAAATTGCAATTTTCTCCCGTAACCTTTTATGCATAAGATGTTGCATTCAGTCTAGAATTCATAGTTATTTTTTTGACTGACTAATTACAACCAAGGTGTATTATCAGCTAACTCCTAACTCTTCTCATTTTGAAGGCAATAAACAGAGAGCACAAAAAGTACCAAATAGATATTCTTCAAGAGAAAAATTAGGGAAAATAGCACAAAAACAATAAGCTTTGCATACCTCGCTAACAAGGTTCCACTTCTTGAGCTGCTTAAATCTGACCAGGGTTCCGACAACCAGGTCTTTGGGTAGAGACTGATGCTTGGCCCTCCGACTCTTGAGCACGGAAACAGCAGAATCTGCTTCCTCTATTTCATTCATTACTTTTCTCCAGTTCTTCTGCTCAATTTCATCCTCAGCATCCTTGAAAACCTCTACTTTCTTCCTCTTTTGCATGAATTTTCTCGGGGCCAACATACCAAGACACACTACTTCTGCCCTTTGAAGCATTCTAACATTTGCATACATCCCATTCTCACAACTAAAAGATTTACTGGAAATTCATGAATACATAATTAACACATGGAATCATATCCCTGACTATTGTCAAATGTGCTCATATTTACTATCAACAGAAAAATCCTAATCCAAAACTTGAATTTATAAATAAAAATTATTACCAGTTTCCCATACCCATTATTATTCAGATAATTTTTAATAAGTGCCCAGGTACAAAAATAGATAAAATCCATCAATTGCAAAGACAGCTCACAAACTCACTTTTCTAATTCAGCAATATACAGCTGAAAATTAGAACAAAAAATAAAAAATAAAATTTACCTCCAATTAGAAGTGGATGGAGCTGAAATGAACGGTTTCAAAAACATTATTGAAGTAAACAACACTCCACAGTTGCACTGCAGCTTCTGCGGCGAGAGGTTTCTGGGAGGCAAAATGTTTAATATTTCAGAAATTTTGGGCCAACTGGTTAAGTTTTTTTTTTTTCAATTGCAGATATTTTCCAGTCTGTTAGACGTACATCCCTTATAAAACTAGGCGATGTATTATATTGTGAGGATTTAAGGACTAGAGTCCAAATTTTTAAGTACCCCAAAAAGTTTAGTTTATGTAAATTCAATAAAGAACATGGTATTCAATTGAAACTTCTAAGAGCCTCTAGAAATCATGGGGTATTCAATTGAGAATGACTTTTAGAAAATTTTGTACTTATCGGGATCCTTGAGACTTTTTGGTTGAAAATATAAATAAGAAATCTCCAATTTACCATGAGATTTCTGAAATTCAGCCTCTTTCTTTCGCATTCTAGGGTTTTATCTATCTCTTACATTCAAGTAAAATTTGCACAGGCTGATTTGAACCGGACCTTAGCTATTGAGGAGGGTTTTTGGAAGCAAAATGCCGGCTCTCGTTAGGTATGTGAGAGAGATCGCAACACCAGATATTTTCATTCGCTGGTACAGGTACGACAGATCAAATCCCATATTAGGACCATCACGATTCAGGCAAGGGAAGTTTTTACTACTCCAACGGATATTTAGAGTTCGGCAATCTATTTTTTCCAGAAATTATTATCTGCTCCTTCACAGCCTCTGGAGTATATCCGTCCTGATACCATACCTAGGATACTAACGGATGCAAACAATATGGCGCTGAACCGTCTCCCTTTAATTGATGAGGTGCGGGATGCTGTTTTCAGTATTGATGCTGATA